AACAAAATGGTGTGACTGAGAGAAAAAACCACCACCTTCTTGATGTTGCACATGTCCTCATGTTTCCACAAACATTCCAAAACATTTCTGCGGGGATACAGTCTTAACTGCGTGCTATTTGATAAATCGATTTCCATCAAAAATACTAAACTATAGAACACCACTTGAATGTTTTTTGACCTTCTTTCCTAATTACTGTGTTTTTTCTCAACTAAAGTCTCGAATTTTTAGAAAGCGTCGCTTTTATTTATGTGTCGAGTCAAGGGACGTCTAACTTAGACCCTCGTTCCTTAAAATATATTTTTCTTGGACATTTTGCTACTAAAAAAGTTTATTGGTATTATTGTCCCCAAAAAAGGAAATACTATACCTCTATGGATGTTACATTTTTTGAGAATCAATGTTTTTACACTTGAAATTTGCCTCAGGGGAAGAGTGGGAGTGATCCAAATTTCAGAAAATAATTTTAAATAGGCAATGGTGAGGTTATTTTTTCAAATTTAAAGTCCAAATCTCTAGATATGGATTTAAATGAGGAGATTCCAGATTGGGAAACAATCTAAAAATTAAATGAGGAGATTCCATATTGGGAAACAATCTAAAAATCAAATTCCATTAGACCAAACCTTACCTCAAACCAATGGGAGCTGAATTGGGATCCTGTCCCACAAACTTTAAAAGTTGTAGAAAATCTTAATCAGTTCACATCAAAATCTATGATGAAAAATAAAAAAATAATCTCTTTACTCAAAATCGAGACCTTAAATACAAATTCACCATCAGGAAAAACTCTATAGCTTGTCCCTATTGTCAATCATAGAGCCAAAGATTTGCTAACTTATTTAAGAGGAAAAAATCAAAATAAAGAAAAGGACATTAAGCCCTTGCAATCTCAAACCTCAAATCCGGATTCAGATCTTGAGAACCATGACCTAGAAGTTCCTATGGACGTGAGAAAGAAAACTAGGTCTTGCACTCGTCACCCAATATCAAATTTTATTGGGTATAATAAGATCTCTGGATATTACTAGACGTTTATTATAAACTTGAAAAAGATAGAGATTAAAAAAATAGTGGGTGAAGTCTTGAGAAACCAGTATGGAAAACTGCTATTTTGGAAGAAATACGTGCATATGATTGATTGTATTATTAGGATGTAGGAACATTCTGTAATATCTTTAATGATTTATTCTATGATTGATTGTATTGTTCGGATGTAGGAATATTTTGTAATAACTTGTAAATTTTCTATGGTTAGAATGATTAAATTAAAATGACAGAATCCCATACAATGACTAAATTACAATGACAGAATCCCATTGATTAGAGTCTGTATATTTCTCTTACTCGGCTATATTATGCCGCTGTACATTATTCTTTTTACAGTAGAGAAGATTATTCGAATTAGTACAATATAGACATAAGGTTTTCTCCTGCTAATCTCTTTAAAATCTACTAGCTATTGATGCTTTTAAGGTCTTTAGACCGCAAGTATATCCTATTCGTTTCCCTGTAACGTCACCAATATGTGATATGGAGTATTACAAACACCCTCATTAAATGAATTGCATCATTGTGATCTTAGAAAGAACCAAATCCTAAATCAAAGACAATTCAACAGAACCTAGATATTCAACATAAGAGTAGGTCCTGGGTCAATTTTGATATCATTTGTAAAACTATAAGCTCACTACAAGCTAGCTAGAAAATGCTAGTTGTTGGTGTTTTCCGTGTCTATATGCCACAAATATACATCATACCTTTTCCTTATAGCAGTTCTAATATGGGATACAGGATATTGCCAACTCTCATTAAATAAATCTTCTACTTGGAATCCAAAACAAATAGAAATGAACATGAAATTAGAGCCAATCCAAATAGAACTGCACATCCAAGCAGCACTGCACACTTTTCTTGATAGCACTTCTAATGTGAGATGCAGGGTACTACAAACTCTTATCTATAAATAAAATGTGTACTTGCAGTCTCAAGCAAATGGGACTAAACACAAAATCGGGTCCAACCTAAGCAGAACTGCAAATCCACCATGACAGTGGTTTTAGAGTTGGGCTCTAATATCATTTGTAAAACAATAGGTCCTTCATAGCTTTAGTGCATTGTCCAAAAGTGTTAGGTAGTGGTGCTTTTGTGGCTTTGGAACCATAAATATATACTACACTTTTCCCTGTAGTACTATATGATGTGAGACATGAGGTGTTACAAACTCTTACCGTTAAATGAATTGTATCATCATGATCCTAGGAGAAAAGAACAAAGTATGAAATGAGATCCAATCTAAAACAGAACCCCTACGTTCAACGTGGAATTATTCTGGGGTTGACTCTGAACTATTTTTAAGACTGCAAGTCCATCGTAGACTCAATCTTTCTCCCAAAATTGTTAGCTGATGGTGCTTTTAAGGTTTTTAAGGCTTCAAATGTACACTACAGTCTCCATAGCACTTCCAATGTCAGATGCAGGATGCTATACAAATTCAAGCTCTAAACCTAAGATTGACCAGGAAACCAAATATAAACTTATGAAGATGATAACTTCTTCTGAGTTCAACTCTAATCTGCTTACCATGTGAACTAAAATTTCCCTTTCTTTTAAATTTTGAAATTATGTTTGTATATAATATCAGTGCAATGCATCTTATCGTTTTCTCCATTCAGTTTTATTATTTTGATACAAAACTACTAAAAAGGATTAATTGGATTTTCTTTTATCAATATTTTATTAGGATCTGTTAAAATTTAAAATAGAAATGTATTTACTTTTCCATTGATCTCTGCTGAATTTGATTAATATTATTCTATAATTTAGATTTTGCTATTACTGGTTATGCATTCTGCTGATTAGATCAATTTGCAGATAATATCAAAGCAGTATCGAGAAACTCATTGCCATTACTGTTTGAATGAGTTACCACCTGATTCAGTCCCCTGCCCCTCATGTGCCATACCATTGTACTGCTCAGAAAACTGCCAAGTTCGAGCAGGAGGAGAGTTTAGGACTGAGCCGAAGAACTTTACCACTCCTAAGAATTTTTCTGATGATCTTGTAGAGTACATTGCAGGCATTACTTTACGCCTTGAAACTTCTTCAGAAAAGGAGCTTGTTCGAGAACATCAACATGAATGCCGGGGGTTCAACTGGCCTGCTATACTTCCATCCGATGTAGTTTTGGCGGGTCGGATGCTAGTAAAGTCTTTGGAGGAAAGAAAAGTTTCTACACAGCTTTCCAAGTTTTTGTTGACTTTGGTACATGTCTTGGATGTGTATACACATATATGTATATATATATATAGTTTTATATGTATATATATTTGCAATACTTGTTTTGATTGGTGAGAGCAGTAATTCACCTTATCAACTGAGTCTCGGCATTTTTCTTGTAGGAGCTTTCTCACAGTTATGCCAAAATGCCTCCAGAAAGCAAATTAGAATTACATATATATTCCATTGTATTGCTGTGGTGTCTCCAGCATTCTTACAGCTCTGAACTGTCAATAAGTGGAGTTTCGGTATCTCAGGTTTCCTCTCTGTCTGCTTCGCTTACCATGTGCATTCACATAAAAACAAAAACGTGGGCACATGCAAAATAAGATAAAATCATGTCTAGTTTCCTCTCTAAAGCCCTGCAAATTTTTTCCAAGATCTGACCATACTCATTGTTAGCAGATAACTCTTCTCTCCTCTCTTCTCTCTTACTGATTGTACCGCATCTTCTTATCTTTATCTCTTCATTTGTACATAGAATAATATAATAATTTTTCCAGTTTTCACCAAAACCTTGACACGCATTTGGCATACAATCCTAACATGTGAGCCCAACAGTTATGCTTTCATCACTTCGTTTATGAAATGCCAATCTATTGAAAAACTTTATTGCAACTATGTTTCCGTCTAATGAAAACATGTATATATTATTTAATTAATTCTAAACAAGCCTATCTTGAGTTTGCTAATATATATTTGATATCTTTCTTTTTCTTATAGATGGTAATATGATCATCAAAGCTTTAATAATTTTTTGTTAAGTAAAAGAAGAAAATATTGTTGGGATGGTATACAAAATAATTAGAAGAGTGGCAATAAGGCATCCTTGGACTAGTGGAACAAAAGCCTAAACCACAAAACAAGAAAAGAGAACGAGAAGGCCTGAGCATATTATAGCCCCCCAATTCCTTGGCAAACTAGATAGAGGCATATTCTCAAAAATCCATTTGCTGTTGTCCACAAAGAACCAAAAGCCCAAAAATTCATTAGCTATAGTACACAAAGAACCAAAAGCACAACTCTACCTAAAATAATATAGAATTTTGTATTGATTTTTCAAAAATTGTAACATTGTGCTCCAACACTAAGGTCCAACACCTAGCAAAAAGAGCTCCATGGTAAAGATTTAAGTTCCTCCTTCTTTGCTAATAAAAGCTTTAGTAAGTTTAGGATTGTTTAGAATTTATTTTGTGCTAGCCTAGAGAAAAGCTCGTAGTTCTACTACAGAGCTGGAAATGGTTTTTTCTGTTGGAAGTAGTGTATATATGTAATTTAGTATGTAAAATTATAAGAGTAAAGCACCTGTTGTAATTAATTTTAGGGTTTCTTTTTGTATGTTAAGAATTGTGTATATATAAGTCCTCTTTCCCTCTCAATAATGTTCATTTAATACTTTCAGATGGTATCAGAGCATGGGAAAAAGTTTCCTAGCTTTTCTTTCTTCAAACCTTAATTGGCCTTTACTATCAAAATAAAAAAAAAAAACAATAAGAGGGGCAAACCTTCTTAGTCGGCTACCATGATTGTAGCAGCCAGCCTTTGTAGCTGGCACCACCATAGAAACCGCCAACCTTCATAGATGGAGGAAAAGCTAGATGCACAACCTCTCCTGTGAGCCACCAGCAGCCGTGCCTGCAGCTCCAGTCGTGCACCATCACACAGCAGCCTCATGTCTGTGCTGGTCGCGTCTGCCCTGCTCTGCAGCAGATAACATTGCAGCACCTGTCTGCTTCAACTGTTGCAGCCCTTTTGTAGCGCATACCGCCAGATCAACTGCAACAGCTTAGCAGCACCAACTGTGTGCAGCTCTCCTCCATTGAACCAACCTTCATCAGAAGCCACTGGTGCTAATCCCAACATGACAGCTTTATAAAATTCAATTGGAGAATCACAAAATACACAGGTGACCTATTGTTTGAATAAGTAAAATTAATAAAATGGTCAAAACTTATCCATACTATCCTAAAAGGTAAAGGAAAAGTCAACTACCTCTTAGGAACTGGGCTACAACTAGGAGATCCTCGATTTGATGCATGAGAAAAAGAAGATTCCAAGATTATGACTTGACTTTGGAGTTCTATAGTACCGGAAATTAATGACACCTATATGTTCTTGCCAAATGCCAGAGAAATTTGGGAGGCAGTGAAACAGACTTACTCCAAGGTCCACGATGCAACTCAGTATACAACTGAAAATCAAGACTACCTCCACAAACCAAGGATGTTAGATAGTTACAGAATACGCCAACCTCTTGAAATGCGATAGCAAGAATTAAATCACTACTGTTACATCAGGATGTCAAGAAAGACAGTTTCTGAATTTCTAGCTCGTCTTAATGTGTAGTTCAATCCTGTAAGGATTTAAATACTGAGTAAAGAAGTGACACTCTTGTGACTAGAAATGACGAGAAAGAGATGATGATGGTGAAATAATATCTAGTCAAGGAATTAGAAATTAAAAAACTGGGAAAGTTGGAATATTTCTTCAGTTTTGAAGTGGCTCAGTAGAAGTAAGGAATCTTCATTTGTCAGCAGAAGTAAATCAATGATCTCCAAAGGATATAGGTAAGCTTGCAAGCAACTTGTTAGTACACTGATTGATCCCAGTCACAAGTTGTGATTGGTGGAGGAAGACACGACCATCAACAAGGAGATGTAGTCGAAGCTAGTGGAAAAATTCATCTATCTGTCTCACACTAGGCCAAACATTACAAATGCAGTAAGTGTGATAATCAGTTTGTACATAATCTTAAAGAGATACATCATAAGTAGCATATCAAGTACTACAAGTATTTGAAGGGAACACCAAAAAAAGTATGTTATTCAAAAAGAATACTAGATTTGTTGGCTACCATAGTTTATTATTTGATATTATATAATTAGAATTTTATGAGAATAATAATATCATATTATTAAAATTTTAGTAGAATAAGAATTTCTCTAACAGTAGAATAGAAATTATATAAATATTTTAAGTATAACAAGTTAAAGGGAGAAAAATAAAATTATTATTTTTCTCCAAAAAATCAAATATGGTATTAGAGTCAAATAAAACTATTTTAGAGTTCTGATTTTAGGTTTTCCTTTAAACCCTAAAATAACACAATAAGATGAATTAGTACCTATTTAACCAAATCTACTCTTATCACCACCCTAACAACGTCAGAGACTTAGCCTCCTCCCAACTCAGGTTAGATAGAAAAAACTATAGAAAAACATCTATGATCCTTTCCGTCACCTCCAATCGCCACCTGAAGGAGAAACAAAGGCGGCAGGTGGCGGATCAGATCACAACCCATGGCAGCAGTGCGGGGACCAACGAAACCAGAAGAGCGGTGCGGGGAGATTTGTCCTGACACGGCTGCGTGAAGCTTAAAAACAAAAGATTGCGGTTGGCCAGAAAGAAAGTGCGTGATGGGCGATTTGTTGAGATCTGCACGACTGAAGAGGAAAAGGAAGAGACATGCGGTGAGATCTGTGCAGGTTGACAGCCAGAAAACCGGAGAAAGAACACGACTGGCTGGAGAAGACGAACCAGTGGAGCAGCAGCCAGATTGCATAAAGCCTGATCCAGGGCGTTTTTGGGCGGTTTTCGGCATGTTCTCACCATATCCACGCCAGTATAGAAGGGCGATATCCCTACACCCACTTGAAGGAGGTGTTGACTATCATAGTTTATTATTTATTTATTTTAATTTATTATTTGATATTATATAATTTGAATTCTATGAGAATAATATTTT